AGGCTTATTAGGGTCCTAGCATATACTATACGTTTGCGGACGGTTTAGGGTTTAGGGTTTTGGGATTGTTGAGTGCCGTGCTTGAATACTTGTTTTTGGCACCTGTTCCGTAAGGGAACCATTATGAAATTAAAGTCTATACTTTGTTTCCCCCTGGTTACTTCAAAGTCTAGGTTAGGGTTGTTGAGGGTTTTCGAGAGGAAAAGGATTGTTAGAAGAGCTTCGTGAAGGGCTTATAGGGTCTGCAATGAGTTTGTATGCAGTCTACAGGATCCCAAACACTCCCTAAACCCTAAACCCTAAACCGTTGAGGATTTAGGGTTCAGGGTTTAGGGTTTAGGGCTCTAGAAGCCCAATGAACGATGCAGTAGATTTATGCAGTGGGACTAGCAGTGATGATCCTCATGGCATGAACAAGCACCCTAGCTTTCTAATCATGTCTGCGCACACCCCTAAACCCTAAACCCTAAACCCTAAACCCTATACCCTAAGCATTGATCTTCAAAACAGTTGCAGCTGGTACGGTGTGAGAGAGCCTAAACCCCTAAACCCCAAGCCCCATAAACCCTAAACCTACTTAACATGTAGGCCGCTCTTCGAGCCCCATAGACCCTGAATCATAGACCCTGAATCTTAAATCTCCCTTAACCCCAAGCCCTGAACTTGACCAAACCCTGCCTTATCCCCTTAACTTTAATAAACCCTCGCTCAACCCTGCGGAGACCCTGAGCCTAATAACAACTCCAATCCAGCAAGATCTACCTGCAGCCCACAGCAACTCTTCATTCTGAGGGTTCATTGTTAAACATTTTTCTTCTAACCGAGCCTGCACGGAAACCGCAAGAGAGAGCCCCAAAAGCTAGCCTTTTGGCTGCAGGGTAGACAAAACCCCGAAGACAGCGACACCCAAAACCCTGCTAGCTGTGCCCAGGCTCCTGAACAGCTGGGTCGACTACGACGCAAGCCCCCTGGCCCTAAATCCTGGACCCGAACCCCTAAACCCTGAAGCCCGCACGCCTACAGACGTTTGAACTCGGAAAACGAAAACCCTAAACCCTAAACCCTAAACCCTAAACCCTAAACCCTAAACCCTAAACCTAGGCTCCCTTTCTCAACAGCTAGGCCCAAGGTGTTCCCTATCACAGATCTGGCTACTTTGGGGCTGGGGCTGGGTTCCAAGAATTATAGGAGTTACAGTTATTCTGGGGACTCCGGTGTATGTTTGTTTGAAGGATTATTTGAATTACATGGATTGTGGGGTGTGTTTTGATGCTGGTTTTTGCTTCGCGTTTTACGGCTGTTGGGTCTCTTTCTACTTGGCCCTTGAAAGGATCCAAAGAATGGCTACCTGAAGCAGGCCGTATCTAGGTTTTAGGGTCTCTTTTTAAAAGGGACGATTCCTTCAAACGACAGTACAAGAGTTGGTACCTGAATATATAATCTTGTGTGATGCGGCCCTCTTGTGAAGACTGAGTCATCGGAGACGGGGTTTAGGGTTCAGGGTTCCTAACCCCTAAGAAGCCTTCCGCATTCTGTCACCACTCAGATTTCCTAAACCCAAAGAAACCTTCAGTATCCAGTGGCCACTCAGACTTCGCCCGTCCGACCTACAAAGTCGTCGGCGGCCTTTGCATACTTAGCGGCCTCATCAAGGACGGGGGTTTCGGGTTCTTGGGGTTTTTTTCCTACAGATCCTAGCAACCTTCGTGGTAGGGTCCGGAACCTGCCAGCGGGAGCCTTTGCCGATGCAGTTCTCGTCTAGGGTACCCCGCGAAAATTCGAGCAACTTGCGGTGTTTCATAGGTCCCAGAAGGGAAATGCAAGATAGCCCACGGTAAGGCCTTAGTCCAGATTGCAAGGGTACACTGCATTCATTCCCGAACGGGACACTACTATAGGGGCCTAAAAAGTATTACCGATACAATCCGATACTATTTAATTTTGGGTGTTCCTTATTAACATTCAGGTATAATTTATTACAAAAGCCTGTTCTAATTATTAAGGCCACCTAGAGTCTTCAGTGTAGTTCTTTCTTGGGGTTTCCTTATAGGATCCTAATTATAAAGTTGGCTAAACCAGAGAAAGGAACTGCTATGGAGACTATAATGGCCTATAGTCTCCATTGCAGTTCCTTTTTTCTGGTTTAACCCCTAACCCTAAGCCCTAAACCCTAAACCCTAAACCCCACTCTATAAGGTTGACAGCTGGCCCATAGGCCATTAGATCATCCTGGAACCTCAAAAAACCCAGACCCCGAGAAAAGGATCGAACAAATAGATCCCCTAAGGGGGTTCCTAAAAAGTACCCTTTAGTAGTTAGGTTTCCTAATTAGGGGATCTATTTTTTAGATCCTTTTGGGGGTCTGGGTAAGCCCTCAGCCCTAAACCCTAAACCCTAAACCCTAAACCCCTTTCCCTAAAACGCTATCTATCTTTTAGATCCTTTTGGGGGTCTGGGAATGCTGGTTCCTCCCGGCTGTCAGTTTTAATGGAGCCGGCTGCTACCTTCGGGGTTCGGAGGGTGCCTTTAAGTGGGGGTTTAGGGTTTAGGGTTTAGGGTTTGGGGTTTAGGTTTAGGGTTAGGGTTTAGGGTTTTTGGATCCGGGACAATTTCTAGCTGCTTTTGTGGCGTCATAGAATAAGACTAAAGCCTTAACCCTGAAACCCTACTGAAGAACCCCGTTGTTTCTGCAAGGCTTGTAGGTCCTCAAGAAGGTTTACATTGGGGGGCCCTGCCCGTTCTCTCCCTCATGCAGATCTTTGGGCTCATAAGCATCTAATATAAAGCCCTACATAAATATCAATACGCTTTTGAAAGGGGTTCCATATATTATATGTATGCTATAAAGGACCCCCAAACCCTATTCCAATTATGAAGACACTTTCCTGATACCCGTTTAAGCACCCTTCTTAGCGCCACAGAAACCGTTTTCATTGAAAGGAGCCCTATTCTAACCATTAATGCCCCCCTATATTACTTCGGCAAGTGTGGCCATACTCACCAGCACACTCACCTACATCTCAAACCTTCGCTCCTTTGTTTAGGGTTTAGGGTTCCGGGTTTACTCCAGAAGAGTACGGCACACTACGAGCTCATAGTAAGAACCCCAAGGAGGACGACAAAGTAGAGAACCACCCCCTTTGTTCTCCTCAGGGTGGTTCGTGGGGACAGTTTGGCACGCTGCCAGAAGAGTGCCGACCGCAACATCGGCGGTCGCTTGGGTTCGCAAGCAGGGTCAGGGGTCAGTTGTTTTGAACCTTTAGGGTTCGGAGTGTTTTCCACACCTACACGGAACTTCACTTCATGACAGAGCTCATTTTATAATACCGTTACCACAGAAGGCCTCGAATTATAGAAGCCTGGAAACAGTGCGACCTCGAGGTAGTAAGCCGTACAGCAGCCCAAACAGCAACCCTAAACCCTACACCCTAAACCCTAAACCCTAAACCCTAAACCCTAAACCCTAAACCACCAGAACGGAACCAGCTTTGCGGGAGTCTCTGCGCTTTGACCTCAAGCCTTTCTCGGAGAGCCCAATGTCTAAAATCATATTATCGATCCCTCTTTTGAGGGTTTAGGGTTTAGGGTTGATAGGGTTTGTTTCGATCCCTTTGTTGAGGGTTTAGGATTTATAGGGTTTATAGGGTTTGTTTCGATCCCTTTGTTGAGGGTTTAGGGTTTAGGGCTTTAGACCATTAAGTCGATTCCTTAGCTAAGGAATCGATTCTTTACGACTTAAACTATAGCCTCCATTGTAGTTCCTTTTTGGGGGCGCCGGGATCTCCAAAGCCCAAGGATCTTCAATATGAACATGGAGGTGCGGCGGTCTTGTTTAAGGAAGTTGGGGTTCCTTTAAGGTTTAGGGTTTAGGGGTTTAGGGTTTAGGGTTTAGGGTTTAGGGTTTAGGGTTTAGGGAAGGGTCCAGGGGTTAGGGTTCTTAAAGAAATTCGGGTTGCTTTAAGGGTCCAGGGGTCAGGGTTATTAAAGGGAAATTCGGGTTCCTTTCAGGCTTTTGGGGTTTAGGGTTAAGGGGGGAAATGTTTTAAGGTTCCTTTATAACGGTTCTACTGGGAGGCGTGGCGGGGAGCAGACGCCTTCTACCGCTAAGGCTGGAGAGGGCTCTGGGGCTTGAAGCAGTAGGGTTTTAGGGTTTAGGGTTTAGGGTTTAGGGTTTAGGGTTTAGGGTTTAGGGTTTAGGGTTTAGGGTTTAGGGTTTAGGGTTTAGGGTTTAGGGTTTAGGAAAGTTGCAGGGCTTTCGGTTCAGGGCTTTAGAGCTTAGAGAGCTTCGGGGTCGCAGTTCTCCAGAAGTACTGAGTTTGCTCCGGGGCATAAGGGGATCCGGTGTTTTTGAGGCGGCCGTCGATAATGTGCCGAAGATCGGCCTTTTGGAAGAACCTCTTAGATTGTACTAATGCCGGAACCTGATTAAGAAACCCTGGGCCTTTATTAGGATTCTTAATATGAACTCCAATACATTGGGGTTAGGCCAGCGTTTCTTAATCGGGTTCCTACATTAGGCCTGAGGCTTGATATGGAAGGGAGTTGCAGACGGTTAGTGGGACGTACTAGTGCTGTACTACTGCATGTGTCACTGCTTTATTGCTCTTGTACCACTGTACTACCGTACGTACTTACTGTACGACTCTTGTATTACTGTTTTATCACTATACTTATGTACCATTCTTTCGGAATGCAGGGGTGTGTCGAGCATACGGGGATCACGCTATTCGGGATGCCGCGAAACGTCGGAGGGCTGTAGGGGGAGAGGGGGGTACACTAAACATACGGCTGATGATACAAATCCTGCATTACACATAATGAAGAATATACCATAATTCCCATACTTAGTTTAGGGTCCTTAATGTAATGCAGGTTTTATATCATCAACAGCATTACAAAACCCTAAACCCTAAACCCTAAACAGCATTAGTATACTAAGGAACGGGAGCCTCCCAATAGTGTCGGTCCCATGTTTCGGCGATCCCCGCCAGGATGCCACGATGCGGGTCGACGTGGCACCGGACGGCTGGGTCGGCTTCGTCGCAGGAAGTACAGCGCTTCACCACGCCAGTCGTGAGCCCAGATCTATGGTTTAGGGTTTAGGGTTTAGGGTTTAGGGTTCTATAACCCAAAGGCTCCATGTACCTTTATAGTAGTGACTTAAGCCTCAAAGGGGTCCCTATATAGGCACTTTAGGGCTTATGTATCTACTATAAAGGTACATGGAGCCTTTGGGCAAGGGTTTAGGGTGCACGATTCAGGGTTTTAGGGTTTAGGGCTTAGGGTTTAGGGTGCCCAGATCTACAAGGGTTTAGGGTTTACGATTCAGGGTTTTAGGGTTTAGGGCTTAGGGTTTAGGGTGTGGGGTTAGCCCAGATCTACAAGTTGATGAGAACAAACCCCTCAGGTTTTCATAGCCGTCCAGTCCATGTGTTTCCAATATGACTAGTATCGAGGCCTGAATAGTTCAGTTGCCAATGCCAATCCTTTTCGAGGTATCATAGGGTTAGCTATTAGTCATTACTAATATTGTTGTTGTTATCATTATCATTATTATTAGGCTTATTATAGAGCCCCAGACCTCGTCAAACTACCGGACCCCTATAGTGTGAAACCCAATCGATAGTACTCCCTTCCTGAGTGGAGCCCGTTCGAATGATTAACTTAAGGCCTGTATTATGCCTTGTGCTGCAACTCCTCCAGCCGAATATAGGCCTCAGAAAGCCCCCCACAAACAAAACATACCCCCTAAGGGTCCATGTACTCATATAGCATATACATGGGCCCTAAAGTAACTATATAGGGACTGCATTACGGCCAATGTATATACTATATGAGCACATGGACCCTTAGGGACCATATCACTGCGGCGTAGACCCGACACGTCAGAACCCTCAAGCCCTACAGCCCTAAAGCCCCAAAACCGAAAACTCCCCTTGAACGCCCTAAAGCTCTATAAACCCAAATCCTTAAACCCTAAACACCCTACAGCCCTAGAAACCCTAAACACCCTAAACCCTAAACACCTAAAGGCCATAAACCCTAAACCCTAAACACCCTAAACCCTAAACACCCTAAAGCCCTAAACACCCCAAAGCCTAAACCCTAAATGCCCAAACCCTAAAAGCCCCCTAAAACCTTGGAGTGCCAGAGGCTTGTCCGGCATCGTTTTCTCGGTGGACGAAGACCAGACCTTCCCCTTGAAGCTAGGCACCGTTGAGGGCTCCATAAGGACTATTATAAGGCTTCTACAGGGTTATTATAAGGGTCCTATAAGGGTTTAGGGTTACTATAAGGATTATTATAAGGGTTCTACAAGTTACTATAAGGGTTATTACAATGGTTCTATAAGGGTTTAGGGTTACTAGAAGGGTTAGTATAAGGGTTCTATAAGGGTTTAGGGTTACTAGAAGGGTTATTATAAGGGTTCTATAAGGGTTTAGGGTTACTAGAAGGGTTATTGTAAGGGTTCTATAGGGGTTTAGGGTTCCTATGCGGGTTATTGTGGGGGTTCTACAAGGGTTCGATATAGGGATATAGGGGCCTTCATCACTAGAATAGAGTGTGGGGGCGGGGTATATTTTACCGTGGTTGTATTAAGGAACCGCCAAAAAAAAATATTCTATTTACTAAGGCCCCTACATCGTCCAGGAATCGGGTTTTGTTGTTCTGATAAGACTCCTAAGGGATTATAACAAGCAGCGTGTTTATTGCAGTTCGACGGGCACTTTTTATAGTGTGCAGCTCTTAGGTATCACGATGCGAATCTCGCGGTTGGCGTTCGGATAGAGGAAGGTTTAGGCTTTAGGGCCAGGTTTTGAGGAGGAGTTTAGGAGTCAGGGTCGTACCCTGAGGCTCTAAGGAGTCATAATATGTTAAAGGCCTTTTGGGCCCGAAGACCATGTTCTGTAAGGCCTTGGCTAGTTTGAGCCTCAGGGGTAAGGTTGCGAGTTCACGAAGCCTTGCAGTCTGAGTTTGAAGGGCAGTAATAGTAACACTGTTTGCAATAAGAACAGTAATAATAATGAGAATATCAACAATAACAATAGTACTATAAAAGTAATCATCATACTATAATCGTACTGTAATATACCTTGTTGCCCTGCCGCTCAAGCCTCATCTGGAAGGGTCAGTCTCTGGGGCTTCGGGTTTCCTAAACCCGAAATTCCACGAAACCGGAAACCCGTGTTTAGGGCGGACTAACTAATCACCAACACTGCTTTAGGGGCGGCTTCCTTATTGTAAAGATGGCTTAAGTTGCCCCAAAAGCTGATTCTAGTTATTAAAGGCATTCTTATAACCCTTATAATAACCCTTGTGGTAGCCCTTTAAAGGAACCCTAGTCTAGTTATTCAGGCCCCTACGTTAGGGCTTGGTATGGGAGCCTTAAGAGTTCAAGTCGGGCATTGGGTGGCGCAGTATCATATCTATTGAAAGCAAGATCTTAAGAAAGAGGGGCCTTAATAATTAGAATAGGGTTTGGGGGTATAGCATACTATAGTTATAATCAGGAACCTCCCAAAAGCCATTAAGGCCCTTACTTTACGCAGGATTGGTGCGTGTGCAACTCGTTCGACACCCTGCATCAACATCGGTATGTGAACCCCAAACTGTAAGATGATGCCTTGAAAACAAACACCAGTTAATCGATGCTCTATGTTATACCCCCCAAAATCCTACGATGACAAAGATCCTGCCATAATAAGGAATATACCATAACTTCCATAGTTTGCGGCCCTTAAGGTAATGCAGGATTTATATCATCAACAGTATCACCCTAAACCCTCAACCCTATCCCCTAAACCCTAAACCTACCTGACTGGGAAACCTGGGACTCAGCTGCCAGCAGGTGCGAGTTTGAAGCAACCTCGATCGAAACCCACAAACCCACTAGGAGCCTCACGGTTTAGGGTTTAGGGTTTGGGGTTGAGGGTTCAGGGTTTAGGGTTAGGGCTCCCAAGAGAGTCCCATGGAAAAAGACTTGAGAAAGCCTGTTGAACATCTTCGAAAGCCTTTTCTGGAAACTGCCAGGTAGCAATTGCTGGGATTACGGTGGCGGCTACTCTTCCCCGACCTATAGCCTCATCGATGGCTTGTGTCTCTCGGACTACCCGAATGAGTCCGCAAGTCTGATCAGGGGGTTGTAGAGAGGTTAATAAATTACCAATAAGGGTGTTATCAGCGTCTGAGTTCGTTGCTGCTTGTCGGCTACTTGTTATTAAAGGGTTTAGGGGGAAAACCCAGGGACTACCGCGAGGATCAGGGCGTTACAGCGCGTTTGTGCCCAATCCCGATTCTATAATCACTACCGACGCATCTTGAGAGACACTGCGCATCGATTATCCGATAGAACTGTAAGACTCGAACGGACCCCCCTTTTTTCAACGTCCATGGGGCTTGGCCTGGGGCAAGTTGTTCGGACCGCTGGGTCCCTAAGCTGCCCTCAACATACTGTAGAAGCTTAAATAATGACCATGATTATTATTCCTTCGGGTTCCTAGTTTGAATTATAGGTATTGTTCCTAAAAGGAACCCTTATTAAAGTTATAGTGCTCTTCCTTTGGGGCTCCTTATGAAATTTATAGGCTTCAGGAGCCCGAAGTCTTATTCTAGTTATTAAGGCCCCTACAGTAGGGTTTAGGGTTTAGGGTTTAGGGTTTACTGTTTCGGGGTTTAGGGTTTAGGGTTTAAGGTTTGGGGTTTAGGGTTTAGGGTTTAGGGTTTCCTATTCTAATTGGCTCCAAAACGGACCGCCCTGAGGCATCATCGAAGGCTTGATCAGCTACAGCAGCATGACCGCGTATCAGGCGGCGGGTGTCCAAACGGCCTAAGCCCTAAACCCTCAACTTCTAAGCTCTTACACTCTAACCCCGAAGCCAACGAATGCGTAAATCAATTACTAAACTCAGCCAAAAGGCTTAAGCCCTAAGCAGACCCTCAAATCCCAAAGGCCCAACCCCAAAGCCTCTCAAACTTGAAGCTCTGCAGACGCTCGCCTACCTGCCAGTGGAGTGTTGGCCCATCCGGGCTCTTTCGTTGCCTGGCCTGGTTTCTGCCACTGGGGGAGGGGGGGGAGGGCTGCTACAATCCGCGGTCTCTTATGGAAAATGTTTCAGAGAAGTAAAGTAAAGATCCGAAGATGTAGAAACGGGGCCCTTTTCCTTCAGAAACTCAGCAGCTCCCAAAAGTTGGCTGCAGATGTTCGTGGCCTCAGGGACGGCTGCCCAACCTCAATGCATACCTGTGTATGTATGTATGTATGTATGTATGTATGTATGTATGTATGTATGTATGTATGTATGTAATTATATATATATATATATATATATGTGTGTGCGCATGCAACAAAAGCATGAATAATTACCAACACGACTGCAACAGGCTCCTTACTATACTAAGGACTATACCTTAACATACACCCAAAGCCTGCTCTTCTTACGGCCTTGCAAAGGCATCCAGATTACTTGCAAAGTAGATGACAGGACTATTGCGGCTTGTCTAAGTACCTCCTTGGGATCCTTGAAATTTTGAAATTCGGTGGGCTTAGGATTTATGGTTCAGTTTCCAGGTTCAAGACAGTTTAAGGTTTGGGGTTGACTTTGAGGAATTACTTGTAGCAGTGATCTGATCGACCCCCAAGATGTAGCAATGTGGTACACTTATCCACGGTCATTTGCATTAGTGGGGGTGGCCTAACCCAGGTCTTAGCATGGACAGCACCATGCCAACCTCCGATCCGAAACACAGTTTCCTAAACCCTAAACCTTAAACCCTAAACCCTAAACCCCTAAACAGTAAACCCCTAAACCCTAAACCCTAAACCCTAAACCCTAAACCCCTAAACCCTAACCCCTAAACCCTAAACCCTAAACCCTGGTGAGAGCAGTCTACGAGGGGCGAGGGCTGTGGCTTTCCCCATGGTTGTCGCTGGCAGCAGACCCCCCACCCTACTGGGCGGTTCCTTCATGCAACTAACAGCCTACCTACCTACGTGATGACGGTGCATGCATCTCGGAGCAAAGCTGAATTCGGCTGGATGGATGGAATCTCGGGACAAGACCATGGAGCAGTGCGCAAATGCGGTGCTGCAGCCTATGTGCCTTGGGAGGGTACTGCACAACGGTCAATCCACACGTCACCAAGGAATGAACTCGCTTGGATGTTTAGTTGGTTGCTTCTCAGTGAGAGTAGTCTTCAGCAGGACATTAGATATCAGTACCAACAAGGTGACTCCGGAACTCGCATCGTGCTTTCGACTGTCACGTGTTTTGTTTACAGCTGTGCTTCTGCTGAGTACGGGAAAACTAAGTTTGGGGCTTTATGTAGATTTTCTCATGCAGATCCCTGCTGAATGATCCACCGTCCCTTAACAAGGATTCCGATACGGTCGGGCATTGCAAATCCCATGCTGCTCAGGTTCTCGGTGAACCAACAAGAGACGGCACCGCGTGTCCAGGCTCCTTTGCCTTACCATCTGTTTAGGGTTTAGGGTTTAGGGTTTAGGGTTTAGGGTTTAGGGTTTAGGGTTTAGGGTTTGGGAATGAAGGTTCGAGGAGCTTTTCAGTTGAAGGTTTCGGGTTGGGTGGTTTGGGGTTTAGGTGGATCCCAAAGAACCTACCTTTATAGGGCTCCTTAGTATGATTTCCTTGTATACAACCTTAAAAAGGCAGGCTCCTTGGGGTCTAGGTAGGCTCTACATCGAATTTAGGGACTGGATGCAGATGATACTGTTGATGGACAAAATTCTGCATGACCCAAATACAGTATATTACCATAAATCCCATAGTTTAGGTATAATAAGGTCATGCAGGATTTTGTCCATCAACCGTAGTTGTCATTTCTCCTGTTGTTCCGGCTAAAGACCGGAAGAATGCAGCCCCGGAGCTCATGCCGATTCCCCTGGCACCCTTAGGCCTTTCTAGGGACCCCCATAAGGGGTACATCTAGGGCATATAGTAGGTGTGTAACGATCCCACTTGGAGGATCATGGGACTTAGTAAGTAAGGTTATAAGTCCCCTAATTGGGGTTATAAGTATAGTTACCTTAATTATAACCCTACTTACTAAGTCCCATGATCCTTTAAGCAGGGTTAAGGGCCCATACTAGGGGCCCATGGCTTCAACCTTAGGCTTAGGGTTTGAGCATCCTTTTCCCGCTGTCCGAGGCCTGAGGCCCATGCATGACTTGGTAGGTCATGTTTAGGGTTTAGGGTTTAGGGTTTAGGGTTTAGGGTTTAGGTCATAAGTGAATAGCGGGTACCCACATGAGCGTAGTAAATCAGCATAGCCTACGAGCCGCCCGAACCTCCAGCTCCGCTGCACCCTATAGACGAAAATCTTCGCTCCTATCTCTGTCAGTGCGACTATTTAATGTAGATCAATCAGGGTCTTTGGCCGGAACACTTTTAAGGAGCTTCAGTTTGGAGACCGTCGGAGGGATCTATGGTGACGATGAACATCTGCCTGCTGCGAGCTGCCAAAACATATATCTTGTGCTCTGCCAGTGATAGATGCCTGCAAATCGTGTTTTACGCGTCCGCTGACCCGGGCAAAGCCGTCTGACTGAGGGAAACCGAGCCTCTGACTCTGAAGGCCTTCAGAAACCCTGACAAATCCACGTAAAGCCCCGAACATCAGTTACTTTCCTTCACAAGAATCCTGGGTATGCTCGAAGGATAGTTGCGGGCCAGACCCTACCCGAAATCCCTTCAATATGAGGAGGGGAAAGGTTTTGGACAATTTTGCGTAATCCGAGTACCACATAAAGTTGTAAACAATGTTTTAGCAATTACATGATGATAATCACGGTCATTACAGCAATTGAGATTGTACTCCATATGAATACACGTAGTGTTAGTGACATTGTAACTGATACTGCTGTTGTGATTACCCTTACAGTTGCTGTTGTTTGTCATTGTTATTGCTATTGTTAGTGTCATGGTTGTTTGTTGTCATTTCCTTGATTTGTCTGATTAGTAGAATGTTATGTACATATGTATATATATATATATATATCCACGCACATCATATGTACAAACAATCAAACCAAGCAATAAATCAAGGAACATATGGCCAAGCTGGCAAAAATCGTCAAAACAATATATTCGTGTGTGTATATATATATATACACAACACATATACATACATACATACATACATACATACATACATACATACATACATACATATATATATATATATACCTGGAAAACCCTTACGCCTTTTAAAAACGCCGGCGCCGGGTAAAACAGCCTTTTAGCGGCTGGACGCGGGATTGGGCGGCTGGCGGCGGAATCGTAGATTTGGAGGCTGATTTGTGTTTTCGGCCGTCGCAGCCGTTTATCTCT